TGAACAGCCTCACTGTGACAACCTTCACCCTGAGAGCTTAAAGCACTTATTTTCATACACAATAAAGCCTTAAACACCAAGGAAATCCCCCAAGACTTTATGGAAACATGGAGCAGACACTGCATCCCCATGGGGGATGTGGTAGTCACACAGACTGGGTGGCAGCTCATTCTGTTGGTGACAAGAGGTGCAAGTAGGACAGGACCTGCTTCATTCACATGGTGCTCAGCCCGAGAGCCAAGCACTGCTGTCTGTAGAGAGCTGAATGCCAGCACAGCAGAGTCACTGCAGGGACAGATGTCACAGCCCTCCCCATGGCCCTGGGAGCTGCAGCTGCAGGGTGAGCGTGCAGCCAGCCCCATTACTCATGCTGAGCAAGGAGATGCTTCAGAAACACCAGCAGCTGCTCCAAGAAAACACTTCTCCTACAGCCCCACAGGACAGGGCAGTCGGGAGAGCAGCAGCCCCTCTCCTCCCATCACTCTGCCTAGTGCAGCAGCAGGTCCCTCACCTGCCTCTCCCTCCATCCAGGCTTTATGCTCTAGACTTGCCCACTGCTGGGGCCAGGAGGGACGTGCAGAGGCAGAGGGCACACCAGAGCCTGGTGGGAATCTGATTTATCCATGATGTGGAGGGTCTTCGATTCCCTGGAGGCAGCAGCACACCCTGCGAGGTGCAGCACTGCCTGCTGGGGACAGATGGCCTATTCTGCTGCTTTTTTTTTTTGAGCTGCTCCCTCCAGCTGCATGAAAACCAACACCAGCCCCTTCCAGCTCTGCCCTGAGCCAGGGCTGGCTGCTGGTGTGGGCTAAGGGCACACCTCACCTCTCTGGCTTTGGAGGCCAAGGGGTGATGCTGACTGAAGGCTGCACGGTGGTTCCTGTTGACTCACTGTTGGGAAAAGCTGAGTTCAAAAGGCACCAGGACCTCTGCAAAAGGGTGCTGAGAGCAATATGCAGGAGAGGCACAGCCAGCAGGCCAGTCACAGAGTTATCAGGCTTGGGAGGACCTCTGAAGATTATCTAGTCCAAGCCCCCTGCTAAAGCAGGATCACCTACTGTAGATCACACAGGAACACATCCAGATGGGTCCAGCCTTTCCAGCAGTCAGTCAGGAAGGCAGCTGCCCTGGGAAGGCCTTCTCCAAGGCTGGGGAACTTACTTCCAGATGGGAGAAAGAAAAGAGGCTTCTTTTATTTTAAGGAAACTCTGCAGATCTGCATGGGGTCACAGAGAGAAGAAACTTGGGCTGCAAACCACACATGGAGGCAGCCCCAGCATCTCTCATCTTCATATGGTATCTGTCTGCTCTTGGCAAGGACTCCAAGGGCTGCACAGAAATGACTCTGAATCCCAATGGCATTTCTTCCCCCTCCCAGTGCAGCCCCAGGAACAGCTCAGATTGTTCCCTGCACAATGGGAGCAGCCCTCCACACGCTGCAGCTTGCTGGGTAACATGCTAAGGGGCCACCAAGGCTTTCTCCAGTTCACATCATCTGCTTTGACTGTCCCTTTTGAGGACAACTGCTCTCTCCAGGGACCCAACATGTCCTGGAGGGAACACCCTCGTGCAGGTATGGCCATAGTTTCTGTCCTAGTAAGGTTGCCAAGCAGGCTCAAGCAAACCAGGACACTGCCCTGGGACACTCAGGGACCAGGGAGACCTACAGCTTCTCTGCAAAGCTGCAACAGCTGCTGATGTAGAAAAGGAGGCACCTCTGTGCAGGGAAGCTGAATCTTCCCAACCTGTCTGGAACCAGGCAGGAAGGAGCTTGTACCTCTCCTTTTGATCTTTACAGACAAGTTGTTGCTGAAGCTCTCAATTACAGGATTAAAGACAAACATGCTTCCTGCACACACAGGGCTGACCCATCCAGCAGCTGTGTGAAGAGTCAGCAGCAGGTTGGTCCTGCCAAGGGCAGGCAGGGGCTCAGAAGAGCCAAGGATTTCACTAGAGCATGTTCCAGCCCTCCAGCCCATCATCCTGTGTTGGTCCCTGCTCATTTCACCATGGGCAAGGTTTGCAGAGCAGCAAAGACAGAGCTCCTGGAGTCTGGTGTCTCTTGGCTTTGGCATCACTCAAGTGCCACCTGCAAACACAGGCCAAGAGAAGCTGCTCTGCCCTGCCTGGGAACACTCTGCCAACACTGCACAGAAAGCCTTGCAGGGTCCTGGATCCTCACCTGAGCCACCATATCACACCTCCCCAACTCAAACCTAGCACAAACCCACCAGATCCCTCTCCAACTCAAGATCCAGAGATCTATAAGACACTTTCTGGGCAGCCAAGACAGGAGACAACCATTGTACATCCTCAGGCACATGACAGAAGAGGGCAATCTCAAGGGGGGGGGCTGCCTTTGGCCAAACCTTCTCTTTCAGCTCTTCCTGTGGGGAGATGTTGACTGTAACTCCACTTTTCTTGTCACATAGAAAACTGGGTGTCTGAATAGGCAGAGGCAGGTGGAGAAGGAAGATCACAAACCCTCCAGCTTTCTGCAGATGAAAAATGCACCCAGGGAGGTGACTAATTCTGCTGTGAGGTTTCCCTCTGAGTCTGAAGTGACTGTGCAAGGGAGCAGAGACACGGGTGAGGAAAAGCCAAGACTGCTCCTGATGGGAGCAACACCACAGGCAGAGATACAACACAGCTGTGGGTACGATGACAGAAGCACAGCAGCAAGACAGACCAAGCCCCCCCAGCCTTCTGCAGCCAAGTCCCAGCACTGCAAGCCCCCCTACTCCCTTGCTTTTTACAACAGAGAGAGAGGGAAGCAGCACAACAGCTGGGAAGAATGCCAAGGCCAGCAAAAAAGAAAGAGACGTAATCAAACAAGCCCTGATCCAGACTGCATTCAGCTCCTGTGTGCAAACTGTGCCCCACTTGGCTGTTCGTTAGTGAAACACAACTAATTGCAGGTCTTTGTGGCAAAAAAAGCTGCACAACTCCCTATTTAACAAGACTTTCACCACCAAGTTCACTCCCAGTGCTCTTAACTTCAGCTGAGAGTTCAGAGAGCAAGATGAGGTTTGCTTGCAGCAAGATGAACTGGTGCAGCCAGAAAAGGTCAAAGCACCCCAGGAACTGCTGCAAACTGAGCCAGGCTGTCCCCACATCTGTGCACAGCTGGAGCCTGCAGAGCTGAGCCTCCACACACAGCACAGGAGCAGAGAGTGCCAGGGCAACCCCCAGAACACCAGCCCAAAGCAAATGCTGCTCTCCTGCAGGAAAATGCTTGCACCCAGGTGTGTTCCTCATCACAAGTGCTCATTTCGGCTTATTCCTTCCCAAATCCAACACGGCTCTGAGATCTGAGTCCTGCTCACCACACCAACATGTCCCTTGTCACAGGCTGCTTCATGCACAGCATCAGCAGGGACCTGTGGCTGGGGACTGCCTTGTGTGCTGACAGTTCAGAAGGACCACAATTTAAAAGCCATTTTACATCAAAATATACTGAAAGTTAGCCAGGCTAAAACTTTATCATCACAAGAGTTGGCAGGTGGCAAACAGTGCCAAGGCTGTTTCTCTCCTGACTCAGAGACCAAGGAGCTGTAGCAGAAAGTGGGCAGCTCACCACTCCTTGGATCTGCTGGGTGCTCTCCTCAGCACCCCTCACACTACCAGCACCCACAAAAGGAGGGACAGTGGGAGAAGAAGAGTTCAGGACCTGCCCATGTTCCCTGGCAAGTCGATTAATGGGTTAAAACCAGACCTCATCCTA